ATCTCCAGTCTGTATACTTGGGTAGCTCCTAGCGCAGGGAAATGCACAATTCCAAATACAGGGGAGGGAGTGGGGAAGCCTTCAGTTGCCGAGGTCCAGCTGCTGGGTTCACTGGTGATGGTGATGACCTTCCCCAACAGGCCATTGCATTTTATTTTGTTACTTGCTATACATCTGCTTTGCCATTTTAAAATGAGCTTTTACTAGTCTTTTTCTCATTGACTATCCTTTGCCTGCTCTTTGTGTTACAATTATTTTTCATCCTTACAAATGTTTTTTCTACCCTGTCCTGTACCTTTTCACTTTGTGGTATTTTTCACTGTTTAGAATGTTCTTCTGCTATAGTCACAATTTACTACTTTACAAGTTCTTACATGAATTTTCATGTAAAATTAATTGAGAAAAGGAAATTTTCTAAAGCATAATAGGAAGCTAGTGTTACTAAAGTTTATTTGCTTATTGAAAAGTCAGGTGCCTAGATGACAGGTTTCCATATTGTAATCCAGCAATACGACTTGCCTTTACACATCTCCTGGTTAAACATGAACTTGAATGCTTCATTTTAGAGAGAAACTATTTGCCCATCACAGTACAATACATGAACATTAAATAAATTGTGGGAAATAGACAACAGAGAGAAAAAAAAACATTTCTAATACTCCTCATATCTAGACAACCCTAGTTAGTGTTTTGGTGTATTTCCTTTATGTTTTTTCTCCTCCTTTTTTTAAAACATACCCCTTAAGTAATTACAGTTGGGAGACTTCAAAGTTGAGGTTCTGCTAAAAATAGTAGTCCAAATGTATTTTTAAATGTATGCTTGTCTAATAAGTTTTCAGAGGACTCACCTCATCTAAATGTAGATAAATCTCTTTTCTTCTTGAAATTGAAGGGTTCCAAACTGTCACTTAGTATAAACACCTTTGTGACAAGGTCTTGTAACTGACTTGTAATACTAGGGTACCCCTGACTGGGATGTCAGTTCTCATGATACGCTGATTGCACCATGTCTGAGGAAAAATGTCAGGTGTGTGTGTACAAGACAGAGAATTAGGGAGTGCACTTGCCAGCAATTACCCTTAAGTTTAGTTGCTATGCATTAAATCAGATTAGGTCTACTAAGAGATGTTTTCCGCCAATTTATTTTTCATTCTGCTATTAGTCTAGTCCTACACCATTTTTATTTCTTAATGTATGCAAAAATATATCTGCACGAGTGTGTACTGGGTAGTCAAAGTTCAAGTCATGACCATTTGGACTTACAAGTCCAAAGGCACTTTGGTTCTTTTGTGCTTTAGGGTATATTTCTGACAGGTATCATGTATAAGGTCTTTCCTAATAAATAACATTACTTTAAAACCTTTTAGTGGATACTATAATCAGAGGTTTAGTGTAATGAGAGGATACTATTTTAAATGACTAAGAAGTGTTTGAGAAATTTTTCTAATGGCAGCTTTTGTGTTCCTATTTTTTCCTTTCTATAGTGAGAGATAAGTAGGAGAGATATAATTAAGTACATATTACAGGTGAGGTAATTCAGCCTCAGAGATGCAGTCTATCCAGACACATGGCTAGAAGGTGGAAGACTCTAGGTCTTTTGGTCCCTTGTCACAAGTTGAATGGGGAAAATTTCCGCCTGTTTGAACTATCCATATCTTTGTGTAATTCAAAACAACTGTAAACACATTTTATACTATTTTTCCTCAGCAATGATGGAAAAATAGTTTTGCATGTGTTACTTAAAGGTTGATCCTAATTAGCCATAGAAATATTTTCTATGTTTACTCATTTGAAAACATGATTAATCTATCTGAAATGGATTTTATGTCTATAAATGTTTTATTTTATGTTTACCCATATTTAAAAAAACTTTAATCATATTGAAGATGCACTTTTTGCATATTTCATTTAGAGTTAGGTAAAAGAGAGTAAAAATTGTTTAGTGGTAGTCTGAATTCTATTTTGTATGGAAGAAAGGAAAAAGAAAGATTAAAAAAGGTATTTAGTCACTCATTAAAATAGATTAGAGTTTTAAGTGCTATAACTTTGGTCTGGAGCTGAGTATACCCAACAGGTATGTCGAAGAACTACGGGAAGAATGGCAGGTGGCTGGCAAGGAAAGAACTTTGTAAGGTGAATACACAGCATGGGCTCTTCGTCAGGGGCAGTAGAGCTGATGTAGAAATAGGTTCCCACTTGCTGGTTGTTCTTTGAGCTTGTGTGATACCAGTCTTCCTGCTTACAAGTAGAAGTTCTGCAGGAGAGGCTCTGAGAAATCAATCCAGATGTTGTTCCTAGGTTGTTACATATCCGTGTAAATGTTTGCTCTGTGTGTAGTATATTCTTCAAAAAAAAAAAAGAATTGAAATGTTGCTTTATTCTAAAAAAACGTGAACTGTGATTTACCTTGATTTTGGTGAATGAAAAGAATAAAATGGATAACCCCTTCAGGGCTTCATTATTTGTGTGAATACAAATGAAAGAATTTGCTTCAAAGGGAACATTATTTTGTAAAGAAAATAGATTCTTTTCCCTTGTATTACTCTGTAACCCTTTGAGAAAGCAGGTCGACTGCTTTTGCTTTATAATTTTTCTTTAAATACAATATTTTGCTTTGGTGACAATAAATGATAACTGCTCCCAAGAAGGAAATTATATTTCCTTTTAATTATATGATCTGTCAGTGATGAAGATGATGATTACTAACACAATTTAATGATGTTAAAGAAATTAATGAATTTTGATGACTTTGCTTATCTTGTACTCTAGTTTATTTAAAATCTTTTCTTTGGCATTCTTTTATATGGCTTTTTACATTAGCACTACTATAAAGCCATTGACTAGCTTAAGGGTGACAATAATTATTGGATATTTTGAGGCAGCTTATGTAAATCATAGCTGCAAATCAACTCTTAGTTTCTTGCCTACTGGGTTGTTTTAATTATAGTCTGTACTGAATGGTAGTAATGTGTGAATAAAATGCTTACACATGGATTTTGACCTATTAATGACATCCAGTAAACTAATGTTACTTAAAAATTGTTTATGAGTTGTATGTTGTCCTTTTTCTCTCTGAGTGATTTGTTTCACTTATTTATGTAGTTATTTATTTCCTTTAATTTGGGTATCTTTAGTGGTTGAAAGGAGGCACTCTCCAGTTCAGGTTCTTCTTGTCCGTTCAGTGCACAGCTGTGTCACGAAGTCACAAGGCTTTCCAGTCCTGTAATGTACATGGATATATAAACTAGCCTAAGTGGGAAGCCTTTGAGAGGTGATCATTATTTATATATGTTTCTTATAGTGGTTTTTCTCATGTCTTCATTTTGTGGAAGGTTACTCTGGTGCCCATTAGAGTTTGTCACCAGGATCCCTTGCTAGAATAAACCTGGTGAAAAGTGTCCTGGGATGGCTCACATTTGGCTCTCTGTAGAAGCAACATGTCTTGAGAGGTCATGAATGTGTCTTAGGAGATGAGACAAAGTACCCAGGCCTGAAGATGACCAGGGCATCCATCTGGACTAGAATTAAGTCGTGATCTATTGCACTACTGTATGTGGAATACATTGCTTCTCTGATGGATGTTTTCACATGAGGGCCATGTCTTCTTTTACAGAGGAAGAGAAATTGGGTTATATAAAGTTGGTGTGTCTCCAGTACCATTGAGGGAAAATAAGATTATTTAGGAGTCACTATTGTAGCCATCAGGGAAATGGTATTTATTGTAACCCATCACGGGTACAGCATAGTTTTTTATAGTCTGGGTGAAATTATCTCTCATTTTTTTCAGCTTCCCTTTATTGGATTCCAGGATTATCAGTATTTTGTTGATGCCAATACATTTTCTTTATATCTTTGTACTGAGGAAGAAATAATCGTACTGGAGGCGATGTCACTTTCTAGTGAGTTAGATTGGTTTGTCAGATACTGAGAGGCTCATCGTCTCTAGTTTGTAGACAAAACTGAGTTTTGGGAATTTGAATGATGAAAACCTGATCTTACCAGGACGCTGACAGTGACGTGCTGCCTGAATATCCTGTTGGCGGACAGCTTTGACACCCACCTACCTTCTTAAAGCTCAAAATCAGGGAAAATCTCTTTAATTTTATGCAAATTTTAGACAGATTTGGAAACCCAAATAATAACTTTAAATATTATTTATAATCCCAGACATGCATATTTGACTTATAAGGAAACTTTTTGCTTTGGATAATTTGAAGGCAGTTGAAGAATAACATGCCCTACTCTAAAAGATAAAGAATAATGCTAAGTAATGTTTATTTGGTATGTTCATGAGTCATCTTTAAACATTTTTATCACATTAACTAACTCCTATCAGAATACAGGTTATTAGTGAATAAGAAGAGGAATGTTTTCATTCATTTCAGTCATGGGTACATTTTCACAGAAGATTGAATTATAAATGTTTAAAAAGAAACACCTCTTAGCTAGTTGGCTCATTTTTGAATGGAACTTAGCATGCCTGACTCCAGTGTGAACTGTTCAAATGTTCTCTCGCCCTTCTTTTCCTTTAATTGATGTTTACTTTGCAATTACGGTTGTATGAGTTTGCATTCTAATCTGCCACCTCCAGAATTAGGTAAGACACTTTATTGTTTGTATGTTTGTTCTGCAAAGAGAGCTAAAAAAATTCTTACAAATCAATAATTCCTAGACTCAGTCTGATTTTTTTAGTGAAAAATCACACTTAAGTATTTTTTAAATTAAAAGGTTTTAAAGCATTGTAAATTTTTCCCCTCTAATGACTTTTGGGTAGGTCTAAAAAAACTATTTTAAAAAGTCATTTATTTTATTGCCTATTTTATGGTAGGTAAGAAGTATTTTGTATAAAAAAGATTTTATCTTTGTGTTTTGACATTCTTATTATTATAAACAACTTTTAAAGAATTTTTCTCTTCTGTTTCCTTTTTTCTTTTGTGGTTTTGTAAATTTAAATTTAAAAAATAGATTATTTAATCATACTTTTTTTGTTTGTTTTTTAGGTTGCTATGGAGTTGATGGAGAGAGTGACTCTATTATGAGTTCAGCTTCTGAAAACTCCACCGAACCCTGGTTTTGTGATGCATGTAAATGTGGTGTTTCCCCCAGCTGTGAACTGTGTCCTAATCAGGATGGGATTTTCAAGGAGACAGATGCTGGAAGGTCGATGTCATAATTCTGTTGGGTTAATATGCCTGCTTTATAATGTGTCTGCTTTTGACTATTCTGTCTTTTACTCTGATTTTCTGAGTTACACCCTTTCCTTTGATGCTTTTTGTATCTTCTTGGCAGAGAGTAAATGCTAAAGATCAGAGTGGCAAGGAGGAAAGACCATTTATTAAGTGCCCATATTTTTCTGTATACCCAGTATCCTAATTAATCCTAATATTAGCCCTATAGTGACACAAGTTATAAAGTTCCTAATTTTATAGGTGTAGTACCTAAGGCTCAGATTGTTTAACTAATTTCAAGTTTCTCAAAACCACAAGCTAGTGAATAAGCAAGTTTGAACCTTTATTGATTACCTTTATTGATTGATTTGATTTGATCGAATTTAGAGAAAGAGAGGAAGGCGTTGGAGAGGGAGACACACACACACACATCGATTTGTTGTTCCACTTATTTATGCATTCATTGGTTGATTCTTGAATGTACCCTGACTAGGGATCAAACCCTTAACCTTGGTGTATTGAGATGACACTAACCAACTGAGAGCTTCCTGGCCAGAGCTGAACCCGTACCTTTTTGACTCCAAAAATATATTAGGGGACAGAACTCATATAGTGAATGAAAAGGGGGAGTTTAATTTAAACAATTATTAAGCTATGATAAAAAGTAACTGTGAGATACAAAAGAACTGCAAAAGATTGGAAGGATAACCCCTGCTCCCAGGCTGGGGCTCAGACCTTGTTGGAGAAGGTGTAGTTGTAGCCTACCAGATGACAGGGAGGTTTGCTGGTGTGCCTTGGCCAGACCTGACTTGTGGTCCTTGGCAAGTACAGATGGCTCTGCACAGGTTGCAGAGGGAGTCAGAGCCCTACCTGTGGTGTCTGTGTTGTGAAGGCCTCAGAAAAGTGATCTCCAGGCTGGGCCTGCAAGGTCTCGTTGGCGGATAATGCATGTGGCTGGGGTGGGGCTCTGGCAGATGTCCTCCCTTTGGCCTCTGTCCTTGCTGAGAAACCCTGTCCTCCCGCAATGTCCTCCACCACTCTGAGGAAGCTTAACATCATGCTCACTGTTAAGCAGATATGCTTGCTGTAGGGCTTCTATCCATTATTGCAGAGCAAATATACAAGGGTGGATTTGGAGTTGAGAGGCAGTAAATTGTTAACTGGTGCAAACACCTATGTTCTTCCACTGTTGTATTCACACTTATTTTTATTATCACATCCAAGCAGTTGTTACCAGAATAGTAGGAGACTGCCATCTGGGACGGATGATGGAAATGTAGGAGTAGTTCCCAACATTTTGTACCTTGTGGATTACCACCCACACCGTCTCCACTCTCACCCCTCCTTATAAGGGGGGTGCTTATTATTTCATTTTGCAACATAAAGATATTTCAGTATTTTTATCAAACATGTTTCAGATTATAACAAGAACAGAACAACCTATGCAAATTATCACCATCACTTCTCATATGTTAACACTGGAGAGGATAGGATGCATTCTGTTCCAAAGTAAAGGATAGGATTTAAAATTTAATACGTGTTACTTTAGTAAGGTAAAAAATATTTTTCTTACTTTTCTCGTTTTTGCCTTAATTGGTACATAGGCCCTTGAGAAATGTTGCTGTCTAATATTGTGGGGCTATGCTCTGCCATGAACTCTTACAGAGCGCTGTGTATGGATTTCAAGAAAAAACTGGCTAAACTTCTTACCTCTTCTTCCTCATTTCCGATCCCCCCAAAAATATAACAAACAGTTTGACGGGTGATATGAATCTGTGTTCTACATCATAGAAAGAGGCATTATTATATGTTGGACTGACTTTGGCCTGGAATTAGGGAGTTTATTGTAGCATTTCAACTGTTTGCTTTCAAGATGGACTGACTACCTGTATTTGGATTTGTTAGTAACTCTGATTTTAGTCAAGTGATTTAACCTCTTTATGCCTCAGTTTCCTTAGCCCTTTTGAGAGGATTAAATGAGATGATTCTTATAAAATAATTACACAGTTTCTGGCACATAATGGTGCTCATTGAATGTCTTCTCAGTTCAGCTGCTACTGCTCTTGCTAACACTGCTACTACTAGTGCTTTCTTTTTAAATATTTTATTTATTTATTTTTAGAGAGAGGAGAGGGGAGGGAGAAAGAGAGGGAGGGAAACATAGATGTGCGAGAGAGATATCTTCCGGTTGCTCTCACAATCCCCCAACTGGGGACCGGGCCTGCAACCCAGGCAAGTGCCCTGAATGGGAATCGAACCAGATTGGGTTCGGAGGCTGGTGCTCAATTCACTGAGCCACACCAGCCAGGGCTAGTGCTTTTTTATTAAAAATATTATTCTACTTATTTAAGGTAAACATAGAGTACCAGCTGCATAAATTCTTTCTGGTAACTCTTTAGTTCTGAGAGTTGAAGTTTATGGTGGTAAATTGTGGTGAATAAATAAGTCAACTTTGGAAAACAGAGTTTCACAGAGCTTCCTTTCCAGGAGGAGGGGTTTTTTTTGTTGTTAACAATTTAAAAGTTTCATCAAAATTTGAAAGTAGATGTCTCTTTGTGCTATCACAATTGACAAAGCAACTTGTAAAGCTGCTTCAGAATGCAGAAAAGGGAGGCCTCTTTAACCACTTAGATTTACTGAGAGAGATTGTATTGACTCCTGTGGACCTTGTGTGTATGTGTGTATTATACAATATATATTATATACACAGACACACATCTCTCTTGATTGTGCAGTCTGGCAAAAGTTCTTTTATACTATTTGAACAATTTATGTTTACTTACACACTCACCGATAGGCCAGTGGAAATTACAGGTCTTGATAAAGTTTGAGGAATATAACACTAGCTTGATTCAAGGCAAAAAAAACCCCCCAAACCCCAAAACAAAAACAGAAAACAAGAAGATTTGACAAAAATTTAGTATTCTAGCCTCACATGGAAAACAGGGGAAGAGAAAGATCATTGAATGGAAAGGAAAAAAAGGTTTTGAAATTGAATTCTATTGCATGGGCTAAGACTTATTTCCCTGTTTCTGATGGTAGCCACCAGTTCTACTTATAAAATGATGTTCTCGAATGTGAAAAAACCATCAGTATATTCTTGTTATTAAGTTTTGATTTCACATCTTAGAGTATTTTACCCTGTCCTAAGTGATTTAATAAACCTGATCATTGGCAATATCAGACAAACTCTAATATCTAGAAATAGCGTGTTAGTCAGTGCTGGGAGCACTCACATTCATTGTTAGACCTCAAGCTGCCTGTGCGGCGCTCTGTTCCTAGTAGAAACTTAGTGAGTGATTATTGAATGAATAAATGAAAAACTGAAAATAACGTACTGGAAGTGAATTTGTTTTATAGGTTGTTAAGGCACTACAAATTCACGGCATTTCAGAATCAAATTTGATTGATTAATATTGTCCCTGTTCTGAAATGAGTCTTTTGAGAAGTGTCTTTCACCTTAGTTTGCTTTAGTAAAATATGTGAATTTAAAAGAATCTATTAATAGTGTCTATACTAGAATAACAATTCTGACTGTTTGTTTTTTGATGATTTTATGTGATGCTTATTTTCTCCTCCTTTCCCCAATCAACATCTGTCATCATAGCTCCAAGCAAAGTGGATGGTAAAGTAATAAGGAAGATTATTCCTTTTTGAATTCTCAATTTGTCTTAATTACAAAGTTCTAAAGTATGTGCAGTTAAACAAATGAACTAAACACTATTTACAACAGGTATTAATAAGGACCAACATTGTCTCAGCTTTTTGAATGCATTTTAATAAAGACATCTTCTCATGAGTGGTTGGGGAAAATGATACACTCGTGTGCCAGTCATACTGAAATGGCAGTTTAAATCTGTAGTACTTTGTGTGACTTGTACTAAAACATATTAAGAAGGTCAGTATGAAGCAAGCAGCCAGCTGTTGGGTTTATCAAAGATAAACTCCTGCAGAGTGCAGCGGCACTTAATACACCAGTGGAGCATGAAAAAACTGAGCAAATTAAATTGAGAAAGCTGCTTGTCGAAGATGTGTATCTTTATATTGAACTCCACAGGACGCATTTGGGAGGCTGGATTAAAACATTCTATCAAGGAAAAATCTCAAAACCTTGGATTTTCTTCCAATAAAAAAGAAAATTTTAAAAGATTTGTAACTATTTTACCTAGAACCTTTATAAAATTATTCTTAGTCTTATTTCTTTAAAACTCTTAGTGTATCACAAGACAGAGCCATGTAGCAATCATAGCCTGTTAAGCCGTGATAAAGCAGAAATTAATATAGTCACAAGGTAAGAGAGATTTGCCATCTCATTTTTACCCTTTCTTACAGAAGGGATATAATTTCAAATTCCAGTGCTCCATATTTTGTTTGCTTGATGGCAAGCAGAAATGGAGCCTAATATATTAAAGAAGGTTCCGAGCACTTAAAAAAAAAGAATTAGAATCAACTTCCATTTATCTCTTTGAGTGTGCTGAGACTTTGAGCATTCTTTGTTTAGTGTTGCACCATCATTCAGACCGTAACAAATATGTATGTGGGGAATATAAGTTGTAGGACGTAGGTTGTATGGGGAAGAGATGAGATGTGTGAATGAAATATGACTTCCTTATATTATTAGAACTGTCCCGCACAGTTTTCTAGCAATCAGTTTTAACCTGGGAAGAAAGTCAAGATGCACATCAAATGTTTTAAAATATGTCCTTAAGTATTATCCAACAGCTTTAGGGAAAAATGTAACAAGAACTATTTTACTTAATTACTCAGAGTAACTTTGCAGTGTTAAATTAGGATCTTTAATTCTCAAAGTACTTAAAGTAATGAACATGAATATTTTTCTTGCATATGAAAATGATGTTTTGTTTCATCTGAGTAATGGCTTTGTGCAAATATTTAAGAATAATAGATAGGTACAAAGTGCAGTGAATTTTAAGTAAGAGGAAATTATATCTGTTAACTCTTAACTTTGGCTAAGTGGCTGGAAAAGTAGTGCTTGTTGTCTCTTTTTCTGTAAATAAAAGATACTCTATACATGTTCCATCTTCAGTTGTATATCTGAAATTTTGAAATCTGACTGTAGAACTCTTTCAGTAGTTATTTGAGATGGTATACATTTTATGTCTATTTTCCATGTGGACATGTTATAAAAGGGTTTGATGGCAAACGTTTATGTTCTCTCCTAATAGATGGGTTCACATTGTTTGTGCCCTGTATGTTCCTGGCGTAGCATTTGGAGATATTGACAAATTACGACCTGTAACACTAACTGAAATGAACTATTCCAAGTATGGTGCCAAGGTGAGACAAAGTGTTTTCAGTCGCCTAGAAAAGTTTTTACTTATTAATTTGCGTGACTTTTTACTAATATTGTTGACTACAGAGATGATTGTTAGTAATCATGCTATTTGTATAGTAGTGAGCATTAAGTCATTTATCATGTATAGTAATTTTCTTAGAAAGCCAAAAAATGTATCAATTCTCCCATGTGTTTTTAATTTACAATAACCTATGGGGGTAAAATGGTAATTGAGACCATTGCTATTTCCCTGGCATTCATCACACTGCCTGGTATATACTGAGTTCTCAAAACAAATCCTTATTTTTAATTAGTTGGATCAAGTGAAAACCTAATTTCTGACTTTACTTTTGAAGTGGAATTTGCCGAAATTGTGACAGGGTACTGGAAGCACTTACTTTACTCAGGGTTGGAGGACTGGTTTTAGCACTATGACTGCATAACCTGTTAAGTAAATGATTCTCAGCCTTGATTGTTATAAAGTAATTTTTATTGACTGACCTTTAGGATTCTAGACAGTAAAAATACCCACTTATTCATTTAAACTCAGGTGTACAATGACTACAAACATCCTGGAATACTAGAATGAATTGGGTACGAATATGTTCTCTTTTCATTACTGCTTCTTGGGAAATTGGGAAGGAAGACTTTTGAATAGTATCAGAAACATATTAAAGGTGAAGTGGAGAATTAATAGATTGTTGGAAAATTTTGACATTGAAAATTTAGAAATTTGACAGTTTCTGTAATTATATTCAGAGTATCTTCCTTGGGCTCTAACCACCTGCCCTGCCCTGCCCTACCTGCCTGGCCCTCCTGCACTGAAATAAGTCTGTGCTTTAGTCTGGATAATTTTTGTTTAACTATCTGCAGTTTCCCCCTTCCAGAATTAGCTAAAAGCCCCAGGGAGAAAAGCAGGTCCAAGCACTGAATTTACTTGCCTGGTCCTCAGGTAATTCTACACTATCTTGTTACCTCTCAAATGCCTTTAAGCTATAGTTTTTAAAAAGTTTGTCCACATTTTCTAGTTGAGCCACATTAATACAGATTACCTAGTTCACCATTATTGGCAGTAGAAGTTACTGCTTTTTGATAGTAGCTCCAAAATTTACAAGCACAGAGCCAGAAGGGACTAGCTTAAGTAATTTTTTAATAGGCATACATTATTATCATAAATATAAATCTAGAAAAAAACAGTAAATATTACTTGGTATAACTGAAGCCAGCTACTAGTAACCTCTGGACTGAAGAGTCATTAAATGTCCAGTTGTTAGCCGATTTTTTTCATTATCACTTGATTTTATTTTGAAGTATTACTAGGGAATGGAGCAGAGAAGTAGGTATTCTCTGCCTCATCTGCAAAATCAAACACAGTGCCGTGAATGAAAACAGGGACAGATTTTTGGGCTGTGTTGTCCACCCATTTCCTGACCCTGATCGCTTCTCCCATGTGTTCTCAGTTGCTTAGCTCCCCAGCATCTGAAACGATTCAGGCAACTACGGAATATTTTTCTGGTAGGTTTTTATATACTCCTATAAGTCAGGACTTCTTGTCAGGAAATTTTTCTTTGTATTCACTCCGAAATCCCTCACTCACTTGTATCACATTATATTAAATCACACAGGGAACTATTTGCAACAGTTTGGTTCTGTTCATAGTATTGACATCCTTTAAATAATTTAATTTCTCTTTTTCTCTCCTGCCCTCTCTCCTCTCTATTCTGTCTCTATAGTGCCTAACATATTTGGTATCATATTTATATTACTATTTGCTGGTGTTTCATAGCACATGCATTCTACTATTATTGTGAAAAGACCCTTAGTGGACCCTTAAGTATCAGGAGTTGGGAGTGTTTGAACATCAGCACCCGAAGTCCTGCTCTTGCTCCTTCCACTCACTGCTGATGTGTCCGTCTGGTGACGTTTACCCACTTGGGAGACACTGTTACAGTGTGTGAACAGTATTTCTAGTGCCAACGGAGACTTCCCCCCTTTATGTGTTTCCCTCATACTTAATTTACTTAAAAAACATTTACTAAATAGAACTTTCTTTATTGTCTATTGGCAGTCTTCCACAATTTAGCAAGTTTTTCTTTTATGAAGATCCCTATACCAAAGCAGTATATATTTGGAGACTGTATTTTTTTCCTCTCTGTGTAATTAAGAGAGTTAAAAGGATAAAAAATAGATTTGGAGGGAATTTGGGATAATTTCAGCAGTTTATACTTTCAGTGTTTCCATTTATATACAAAAATAATATAAATAATTATTACTACTGATTTCACCAAATTATTTACTAAAGATTGCTTTAATTTTCTTGAAGATATTTTAAAAATGCGTGGTTTCTTTCGTTGTGATGCCTAGATCTTTTGGTGAATTTCCTTTGAGTTTTTGTTTATCGTCATTCATTTTTCCAAGCAGTATTATATTGTTCCAGTCAGCATAGCTTAATGGTTAAAAGCACGGACTGTAATGTAAGATTACCCTGCTCAGAAGACTGGTTCCCAGTTATTTCTTGTGTTATTTTGAGCAGATTTATTAACCTCTCTTCACATGTATAAAGTGGGAATACTCATAGTACCTCATTCACATTGGTACATAGTACCTCAGTGTAGAATATTATCAAATGACATTAATATACATAAAGTGCTTAGAATAGTGCCTAACATATGATAAACCCTCAAATAATATTATCATTATTATTATGTCCATGGAACTTTGGTTTATTTGAACTACATAGAGAATTACTTCTTCCATGTATACTCTTGGCTTGCCCAGTATTATGGTTTGCATTAATAATCTGCTGTTGGTTACTATGTGCATTTTGTGGAAGCTTCCTTTGAGAATGCTGTCTTCGTCCTGGAAATATTTGTACGCTGAGCACTTCCCTGTTACTCCATTACAGGAATGTAGCTTCTGTGAAGACCCTCGTTTTGCTAGAACTGGAGTTTGCATTAGCTGTGATGCAGGAATGTGCAGAGCTTATTTCCACGTGACCTGCGCCCAGAAGGAAGGTCTGCTTTCAGAGGCAGCAGCAGAGGAGGTAGGTTTATTTAAACCCATAGTTGGCGAACACGTTCATGAGACTTCTCATGACACAGTTACATCCTACAACAGGTGTGCCTCATCAGTTAAACTGACAAGTTGATTCTTAAAGTCTTTGCCTAGATTGCTGGTCTAAAACTTCAAGAGTAAACAATATATCCGGGGTGTTCTTAGTCTTAAAGCAAGTCAGACATTTGAAAAACACGTTGATATTTGGTAATGAAATCTGATGGATGAAATGTAACATAATCCAAAGTGTCTTAAACATTAAAATGTCAGCGTATTTTATATGAGAATTGGAAATTGTATTTGGGTAATAATCTTGGTATCACTCTCTAAATAAGATCATTACTGTGTCTTTATAAGCTACATTTCTATCTCTTTACAGTTATTTTTAATTCTATATTTTCCTTCTAGGTTTATCAGCTTTAAACTAAGCAATAAGTTGTTTTAAAAGTGTGTTTTGGAAACTCCCTAATATTATTTGAAGGGGTCTGTGAAGTTAAAGCTATCTTCATGACAATATGAAAGTGGTGAATACTGTTTTTATTCTTAATTCTCTCTTGAGTAACAGGGTTGATATCCAGATAAACAAAACAATATAACATTTTTTGAATGTGGAAACAGTCTTGAGAATCAAGCTATCTTCCTTTATGTCAACTGTCTAGACATTAAACTGATTTACAAAAATGTAAAATGGTGCCACTCTTCTTAAAAAATTTTGTGTAAATGTAAATTATTGTATTTTTCTGACATGGTCGAAGATAGTTTAACACCATTTTGATTGGGGTCCACCCTGTTGGAAGGAGGAAAAAGGAGATTTGGAGTTAAGCTTTCTTTCAAGAACGTGGTCTGGAAATTTCATACACGTCATTGGCCAGAAGTTATGACATGACCATGTCTGGCTGCTGGGAAGCTGAAGCAGAACGTTGCCAGCAGGGTAGCCATGTATTTGGTAAAAATTCAGAGGATTCTAATACTAAAGGGAAGAAAAGAGAAGAATACGTATTAGAAGGTGGTGGTTTTTACAGTTGATATTTGCTTAATATACATGTTCCATTCTCTAAACAAGATTAATCCGTTAGTCATGTTAACCTTAGAATTAGGGTTTATTGTCCCACAATCCAGAATTAACTAATTAAAACAAATAAGCAAATTAACAACAACAACAAAGCATTGCTTCGGCTACTTATTCCCCTCCAGATATCTTTTTTTTTTTTGCTTTTTTTTAATTATTATTTTTCATTACATTTATTTATTTTTTTTAATTTTATTTTTTTAATTTATTTTTTAATATAAATTTTATTTAGTTACTTTTCAAGTACTTTTTTTTTTAATCTATTTCTCCCATCCCACCCCACCTCCCCGCCCGGTCTCCCCCCTCCCTCCCATTCCCCCCCCCCAGTCCTCATCTCTGTGTCTTTCATACTTGTTCCTCAAAATCCCTCCCCCCCTCCAGATATCTTTGAGACCAAAAATGACTGACTAGTCTTCCTAGGTCAGGCTTTGGCCCTACTGTCTAACTTACCTGTGCAAGCATGAATTCTACCTGATCACTCAATTTCAGACTGTCCTACTTTAAAACAATGAGTAATACTTCAGATCTGGCCATTTGATTGGGCTTCCATATACTCTTTGTTTCCATTTAGTATTTTCTGTCACCAAGATTTAGAGCGTGTCACTGAGAAAGCAGCTGTGTATATGTGTGAACGCAATCTCCTATCTACATTTTTGTATTTTACTTTATATAGCCAAGTACAGTCATTATTAAACCTATTTTACTAATGAGTTATCAGAGGCCCAGAGATGTTTAGCAACTTGTTGGGATCTGTAAAACCAGTAAATTATGGAGCCAAGATTTGTACTGAGGGTTTTATATTTCCACATTCCGTGATCTTATCCACAGTGCTATGCTATTGAGATCTGTGGGTATCACACTGCAGAACTGCATCATATACTTGTTTTAATGTTAAGGACATTTTAGGTTCTTTTAAAATTATTATTTCTCTTTCTGTCTTTCTCATTCGTTTCTCTGTGTGTGCGTGTCATTATTTCTCTTTGGGTTGTAAAACTCCACCTTACTAAGAGATTCCTTTACCATAACTTAAAAACTTTATGGACGCTTATCTTTATTTCTCATCCTTGAGATTACCTGTCATTTTGTTAGCAATCTACATTGTAGATTACTATTTTAGGCTCTGCATTTAAAAAAATGTTCTATTTTTGATAAATGTCTTCTTTCCATCTTTTTTGTACCCAACTCTTTATGAATAAAAAATTGTACCCATTGGGCTAGTACCATGAAAGATGGCTATGAGAAAGTTGTGTTTTCATTTATTGTTTTAGGGTTATATAAAAACTTTAAGGGGATACCTAAAGTGTTTACTGACAGGCACTGGCCTTCTTAGTCCATCGTCGTCCTGGTTAGACTCTGTCCGTTCATTGTGAGCTGGCTAGTTCTGGCTATTTTCTGCATATGTTGTTGTTTTATAATATTAATCTACATATGCAGAACTTTAATAGTGAATGATAATTTCTACTTAAGATTATTAAAACCCTATTTATTTTAAACAAGATTTTTTAAGGTATACCAGGATAGATATAATACATAAGATTTGGTTTCAGTATTTTTAAATTCACAAGGCCCTTTAAAGAAAAAAAGTTGTTGACATTGAAATACAGGATTAAGGTTCTAAAGAAGCAGTTTTTTCATTATGTATATAAATTACTTTTGTAATTTGTTTTAGAAATAACCAACATGGTGGGAGAGTATTTAAAAAATTATCTCTTGTGTTAGATTTTTTTATGACCCTTTGGAGTGAAAATGTTCCTTTTCCCCCTCTGTGTTCTGATCTAGGATATAGCAGATCCATTTTTTGCTTATTGTAAGCAACATGCAGACAGGTTGGACAGAAAGTGGAAGAGGAAAAACTACTTGGCTCTACAGTCCTATTGTAAAATGTCTTTACAAGAAAGAGAGAAGCAGCTGTCACCAGAAGCACAGGTGTGCAATTTATGTCGAAACTCATGTTTATTCTTGTGAGGATATGTATTTCAGATCTCGTGTGTGTTTGCCAATGGCATGTGAAATATAGTTATGACATTTGGTTAGTTACTTAGGAAATAGATTGCCATTAAGTTAAATGGTGAGTACAGTTTGTGGCTAAATGCATTGCTCCCCATCAAGTCAACAGAGCAGCCATTTATAAAGTATGTTCCCTAATGCACTGAAAAAGTGGCTTAGAAGAAGTTATTCTAGCAGTGCAATAGGTTGATCACAACTTTCAGGCTGTTCTGATGCTTATTTATTGCAAAGGATTTGATCAGTTTGCCCAGCATTTAAAATGTATTTCTCTTTAAATTAAGTAAATATATGGATACCATTCCAATAATTAAGAAGAGAAACTTTAGCTTAATCACATTAGTTTGTGACAACTCTGTTCAGAGAGTAGGACAGTTGTTACTAAGGGTAGACCTAATTTACTGTAACCCAAGAATTATACAGTATACCATAAGGACCAGTATATCTTACTGTGGATAGATATAACTTGCCTCAACAGAGGGAATTCTGGTTATCTTTACTTTGTCTAAGTATGGAAATAAAAATCACAAGGAGCATATTCTACTTTAATATGTTTTTGATTTGTATACTTTTCTTTATAGGCAAGGATCAATGCTCGGCTGCAGCAGTATCGTGCCAAAGCAGAACTAGCTCGATCTACCAGACCCCAGGCCTGGGTTCCCAGAGAGAAATTGCCCAGACCGCTCACTAGCAGTGCTTCAGCCATCCGTAAACTGATGCGGAAGGCAGAGCTAATGGGGATCAGCACAGATATCTTCCCAGTGGACAATTCAGATACTAGTTCTAGTGTGGATGGAAGGAGGAAGCATAAGCAACCTGCTCTTACTGCTGATTTTGTGAATTATTATTTTGGTCAGTATAGACACTGATTTGTGCACATTTTCAATGAGAACGATTTGCTAATTAAAATATTTGATATGCCGTCAGTTTTAATTTACTCATGCTACGTATATGAAGCAAAGGCATACTTATTTTCCTAATAAGTTGTGGGTTATTGTAAAATGCTAGGTTCATGTATTTGTGAATAGAATTAAAACTTTTAAATAATGTACGTTTATCCATGTGATCAGCTCTATGGTTGTTTCTTTGTACATTTTGTGTGTTAGCTTTTATTTTCTACTAAAGTAAAATTGGATATTTAATTTAAATAGAGAGAAATATGCGCATGATTCAAATTCAGGAAAATATGGCTGAACAGAAGAACATAAAGGACAAATTAGAGAATGAACAAGAGAAGCTTCATGTGGAATATAATAAGGTAAGTTAGCTATAAAACAAACAGTATATCTTACTGATGATTTCTTTTGTGATTTTACAGCCTTTCTATTTATGTTTCATTTTTAAATTCTTCTGGAGTTTTTAGGCCCTTCCTACAGCTTCTACCCTGCATTGTCTTCATTATCATCTCTAACACCTTGCTGAGCACCTACTATGTGCCAGGCACAGTTCCCAGAACTGTAGATGTGCCCACTAAATTCTCACTTCAGCTTTTTAATGTGGGTTGTGCTTATTGCTCCCATTTTCAGGGGAGGAAACTGAGTCCTAAACAGGTGAAGTAATTTGCTTAGAGGCTTATAACAGTCGTCAAGCCATAGAATTGGTGTTTGAGGCCGGGCAGTCGGACTCGGTTCTTGATTCCTAACCCCTGTGGACTGTGGAACTTCTCTAAGTTTGTGGAAAATTTAGAAACTTATTACCCTTTTTCCCACATATGAGTGAAATCATACAGTTCTTAGCTTTTTCTGATTGACTTACTTCACTAAGCAAGACAGTGAAATTCTCAACGTCCATGCATGTCATCGCAAATGGCAGTATTCTGTCTTTTCTTATGGCCGAGTCATGTGCCATTGTGTATGTGTGAGTTGTGGGCACACAGTGCAATACACAGACCCAGTATCATAGAAATGTGCACTTGAACCTGTGTGCTCTTATTAACCAATGTCATGCCAATAAATTTAATAAAAACACATAAAATTACTGCTTTTATTTTAATTGTTTTGTAATGTTACTTTCGATTTTTCAAAAATACCTCCTAATTATGCCCTGGCTGACGTAGCTCAGTGGATAGACTACGGCCTGCGAACCAAAGGATCGCAGTTTGATTCCCAGTCAGGGCACATGCCTGGGTTGCAGGCCAGTTCCCAGCAGGGGACACACGAGAGGCAACCTTACATTGATATTTCTCTTCCTCTCTCCTTCCCTTCCCCTCTAAAGATAAATAAAAAAAAAAAAAACCTCCTAATTAAAATTTTATTCTACCTCTTTATTCTAATGATGAAGGAGCTGAAAAATAAAGATTGTACAAAAGCAAGATGTGGCTAAAATGTTAGGTAATAAGTAACATGAGCATATAAAACTAGTATTGACTTATTGTTAGATAATTAACACTTTAAGTGATAAAAACTTAATAGGGAGAAACATCCCATAATTAGTCACATGGTAGTGAAAAGAGTACCGGGATTAAGTTCAGAAGACCTCAGGGTTCTTTCGAGTTCTATGATCTTGGCCAAGTCGTATAAACCCTATGTTCCTTAGTTTTCTCATTGGGATATGGTAGAAATGCATTTTGACAGTCAGAAGGATTAATCAGCAAAAATATGTGTAAAATAATATAGTAAACTATAGCAATATACAAATGTAGGTGTTGTCATTAGTAAAAATGCTAACCTAAAATGTTCACATTTTGGTGAGGCTTCTTAACTAATTTGGACAGCCCATCTCTCAGTTACTTAGTTGTATCAATACAGATATTTTTGGATATATATGGATAACTTGTTTAATTTTTCACACATTTTACTATGCATTTTAAAGGTTTACTAATTTAAAATTATTTGGATTGTAGCTGTGTGAATCTTTAGAAGAACTACAGAACCTGAATGGGAAACTTCGGAGTGAGGGGCAAGGAATATGGGCCTTGCTGGGCAGAATCACAGGGCAGGTTGGTTTCTTTCCAATTGCTACCTCCTTCTATTCCGGTTCTCTGTATTATTTTCAAAAGTCAGATCTCTGATACAACAGTCACTTTGCTAACTGAATAATTCTGTGTGATTAGGGCCAAATCGTCCCCTGGGATAATGATTTCTGCCTAAGACACACCTACAGCACTAGAAGCTGCCTACCGAGAACCTGTGACTTAATTTGGTTGTTTTAACCGCTATCTTGTTTGCAAAATTTTTTCATTTGCTCTAACGAATTGACCTGTCATTGTGCTGAAGTTAGGATTTGAAGTGTGAGTTGATTCCTGCCACATCCCCCTGCCCCCCCAATTTAGCAGTTTTAAATTCATCGTCAGATTTTTTTCTGTCTTGTTCTTATATAACTAAATGTATATGTTAGGTTTATATAACTAAAAACCCACCTAGGGGTTTTTTTAAATGTAAAATTTAAAAGGCAAACTTGAAAGATTTGTTTTCATGTTGATTTGCTTTTGAGCTGTGTCAGAAATGGCTTTTGTAATTTTAATGATAAAATGTAGTTTTTCCCCTTAAGTAGGTATTACTGTAGTTGTGAAAAGAATTACTTTATCCTTGAACATTTTTAGCCTGTTAAAGTTCTTAGTGTTGAAAGGAAAATCATCACCAAATGGATTTCTTGAATTTTTTAGTACAGTGTATGTAATTCATAAATTAAGAATTCATTCAAGTAATTTGTTATATTTTTAAAGGATGATGGAGACTCATTATGTCCCTTTCACTATGAAAGTAGTTTTATTTGTGAAGGATGATTTTCAAAGGACATATTTTTCTTTGTAATTGTTTTACAGGTTTATGAAGAGTAAATTCATCCTATAATTCATGTAGACATAGTTTAGGAAGTAATACGGACACGTATTATGCAATTATAGCTTCGAAGATGCTTTTGTGAACAGGGTGCATGTGGCTCATAATGAATGACATAATTTCAAAGATGAGAATGAATCCTTGCTTATGCAGAATTGGCCTTTGTTCCTATTGATAGGTGGTTGATGGATTTTTGGAAGATTATGGTGTTTTATATTTGATATTTAGAGAAGTTAATGTTGAGTGCAAGCTTATTATTAGTTTATTTGCCAAGCTAGCATTATCTTTTGGCTTGATTTGCAAGTATGTCTCATACGAATCTGCTATAAAAGGGCATTTTCATTTATTAAATGACTTAACAGGCTCACAGATTTCCTTGTGCAAATATAAAATACACAGCAGAGGTAGAATTCATTTGTACCGCTTGCATGACACTTTTTTCCAGTTGGCTGAACAGATGCCAGCCCACTGGGCCACTGAGAAATGACTTTGATAGATGGCCGCTGTCCGAGAAGCCAGCATACTACAGATTAGTAGAAACCCAGAGAGAATCTCATTCACTTTGTGGAGAGTTTGGTCCAATAAGATAATTTTTCTAATTAACCTATGGAGCACCAGTGTAGCTGGGATGTTGAGGAAAATAAACGGCTTCAATATTCTTTTTGTCAAGTACACTGTGTGTTTTTTTCTAATGTTCTTAAAAGCTTGTCTTTGTCTTTTACCTTTTAAAGCTGAAGCAGAGGTTTAATTTTCATAATGTTACAGTGTTCCACTGAAAATGGATGGAAGTATGTAATTATAGGTTTCTAATAGAAGTAACTGTGAAACAAAAACTCATTTTAATCCTTTTTGCTGGTGTAATAGCTGGTAAAAAAAATCCCCCCCTTTACAACCCTGGCACTTTCGGTTTACGGCAATGGCATAGAGAGGAAAATATGGCTTTGTATTTCTTCTTTAAAACAAAGTAAACTGCATTTGTTCAAATCAATAGAAGTTGAACATACCGGCAATTTTGCGAGCACCCAAGGAAAGAAAACCAAGTAAAAAGGAAGGGGGCACCCAAAAGACATCTACTCTTCCTACAGTACTTTATAGGCAAGTAATAAAATTATGAACAATTCATATTGTGTATTTTTAATTTTACCTTTTAGTTACAAGATGTTTCAAGTATTTGAGAATAAATTGTCCATATCAGAATTTAAGTTACATGCATTTAATATTCATTTTATGAGTAACTTCCTCAAAGATGCTTTTCGGTTTTATAGAAGAAGAGTTTTTTTACACCTCTTTTAATAACTGAAATGACTTTTTGTATCCTTTTAAGTAATTGGGGAAATATATGCAAGCTTCATGGAAACGAAAGGTCCAATTTTGAGAATATTGTAGATGATTATTGACTTTAAATATTGTAGATGATTATTTTTGTAAATAATTGAACAATATATTAGATAAATGAGCATTTTAATTTTACTTCATGAATGAGTTTTAGAGTTTTCCATATGTTTTTAGATAGTGATGGGTATTATATATATATATATATATACTCTGCATTATTACCTTTGTGTAGTGGTGGAGAATGAAGATAAGTTTTAGATTTAAATGCCTACTTTTTTTTTCTCTATACTAAGGTGTAGTAATTTTGTTTTCAGAGTATTTTTGTTCTTTAATTTTTGGTTTAATATTTTACAGTGCTCACTATTATATTAATTTTACAGAGTTAAGACTTCTTTCCATACCTTAACAGGTTATGATCTTTTAAAATTAATTAAAATTTTCCTTTTTATTGAATATATTGGAGTGACACTGGAGTAACAAAATGTACAGGTTTCAGGTGCATAATTCCACAACACATCATCTGTGCACTGTCTTGTGTGTTCACCACCCCAAATCTTTTTCTTTAATGTAACCGATTATACTGATTAAATGAGAAAAGTTTAGAAGATGCTAGTAGATTTATGTTTGTGTGTATATACATATACATACATATGTGTATCTTCATGTAAACATGCATGTATGCTTATGTAACACATAAATGTCCATTCAGCCTCTTCCTTTTTCAGAAAAGCAGCAATAGCAACAACATCAGTCTTTATATTTATTTCTCATTCTTGGTTGAGGTCTCCCTCCATAGGTAATAGCAAATAACTTTCTTAAAATGTGGGAAAAGCCCACTAGTGTACTGTGTGAAGACTAGCACATTCTGAATCCCGCTTTTTCCAAACAAAATTGGTTCATTTGGAACCATTAGGCATATTACTGTACTTTTTTTATCACTAGAGTTCATTTTTACTTTGGATATATTTTAGGTGTTTTTTTTTAACTCTGAGCAACGTGGAGACCAAATACTGATTTTATTGTTGTTGTTTTATTTGTGTATGTTCTTTTTTCCCCAAGGATTATTTAAAAATTCAAACATCATTGCTGTTTCTCTACATGGATGGCTCTTAGGTTCTCAACGGCGTTTCCCTCAGTCTTTACATTCCCAGTATAAATAAATATACTCTAGATTTTCAGGTCATGGTGTGTGTGCTCACAGAGGTAGTAAATTTGCCTTTTTGCACAAGAAGAGTTAGATTCCTTAAAAAAACCCCAAATCCAAAATAACACTAACATGAATAGTAAAACACCCCATTCTCTGAAGTAAATAGCTATAGTATATTTTTAAGACCCCAAGTCTGATTTTGAAAAGTGACATTTTATATATATATACATATATATATATATGTATATATATGTGTGTGTGTGCACATTCCTTTTCAGAAATATATACATATACATACATGTATGTGGCTTATTTATGTGTTGAGGGCTCTTTGAAAGATTTATACTTAATGATAGAAAAGAAACTCAATTTTCTTTGTAAAGTCATTTCTTTTATAGTTTTGGAGAAGTAGAAAATAGGAAAATTTTTGTTTAATTATACTTTGGAGGAAAATTGAGCTAATGTTCAGTGGATTTTCAATGATAATTAAAATTAAGATAAAGATGATGTTGAAAATAAATATATATGCACTACTCTGAAAGGTTTGTTTCTAGCACTGTTTAAATTTATACTAGATCCAAGCTATTTTCTGTATTCTCAAAAATATTTTGATTTATTGATATTATAAAAAGATGTGTTATGAAAAACCTTTTGATTTCAAACAAAGGAAATATCAAATTAATTAAAAGATTTTGAAATTTATAAAGTGCCATATATTAATTTCAGTGTGATAATTAGAGTATTATTTTAATACTTTATTTGCTGCCTTTATTCAAAGTTGTGGAATTTGTAAGAAGAACCATGATCAACATCTCCTTTTACTTTGTGACACCTGCAAACTCCATTACCACCTTGGATGTCTGGACCCTCCTCTCACGAGGATGCCAAGAAAGACCAAAAACAGTTATTGGTAAGTAAAATGGAGAAAATTTAGATGTTGGAGTTGGGTTGGCTTCATTTCAGCAGTATAAGGTGAAGTACTATATTATTTCATAATGAAGTTTTTGGCCCATTTTATAATTGATCATTTATAAATATTTTATCCAACTTTATTGGGACATAGTTGGCCATTAAAATGATATATATTTAAGATATACAACTTAACAATTTGATATATGTTTACATTGTAAAATAATCACCACAATCAAGTAATTAACATGTTCATCACCTTACATTGTTTCTGTTTTCTATTTTTGTAGCAAAAAATGCTTCAGACATAAGTGTTTATTATAGTATTATATGAATAAAGCTGTAATAGTTTTTTTTTTAAATGCATCTTAAGTTAATTGAGGCTATTTTGGTATCTTAATGGGTTTTTAAAGCATGAATTGTCTAGTGTTTTTGCTTTATTATAAGAATTTCTAAAAAAAAAGTTTCTCAAATGCTTTGTTTTGAAGTGTTAACAGCCAGAGGGAAGGTGGGTTGGGTGGAGGTTGGCACAGGGGAGGGAAAGGGGGACATTTGCGATAGTGAAGTTAGAAAAAAAGAATTTGCCTCTATTCATATTATTGGTAATTTAATATTTTCTAAATTAGTGTTACTGAAGACTTTATTCCTACTATTTGTCATTTGTGCTAGTTATATATAAGTTCAACCATTTGTTTTGCAAATCTAGAAACATTTAATATGCTTCTTATTTTTTCCCTGAACTTGTACATATTGAATCACTACAGATGTTTGATAAAACTTTTGATACCTATGATGAATTTTATACTTTCCTTAATTTTAGTCCAAGGGAGAGACAGATTTTCATTCAAATTTTAATAGGCTGATTCTATATAGGAAAAATATAGGACATGGAAAACTTTGTAATGGACATGGTATTCTTTTTTTTTTTAAATTAATTTTATTTAGTTATTTTTCAAGTACAGTTTTTTGTCTATTTTTCCCATCCCATCCTCCCCCGCCCCTTGCTCCCCACCTCCCTCCCATTTCCACCCCCCTTAGTTCTCATCCCTGTGTCCTTCATATTTGTTCCTCCAAATCCCTCCCCGTTTTCCCCCTTAACTTCCCTTCCTTCTCCCCTCTGGTCACTATCCCTTTGTTCTCTATTTCAGTGTCTTTGTTTTTTTTTCCTGCTTGCTTGTTTGTTTTGTTGTTTAGCTTCCTGTTAAAGGTGAGATCATATGGTATTTGTCTTTCAGCACCTGGCCTATTTCACTCAGCATAATGCTTTCCAGTTCCATCCATGTTGTTGCAAAAGGTAGTAGCTCCTTCTTTCTCTCTGCAGCATAGAATTCCATTGTGTATACGTACCACAATTTTTTGATCCATTCATTTACTGATGGGCACCTAGGTTGCTTCCAACTCTTGGCTATTGTAAATTGTGCTGCTATGAACATTGTGGTGCATAGGTTCTTTGACATTGATGTTTTAGGATTCTTAGGATATAATCCCAGCAGTGGAATTGCTGGGTCAAAAGGCAGGTCGATTTTTATTTTTCTGAGAAAATTCCATACTGTTTTCCATAATGGTTGTACCAGTCTGCAATCCCACCAACAGTGAACTAAGGACCCCTTTTCCCCACAACCTCTCCAACATTTGTTGTTTGTTGCTTTGTTTATGATAGCCATCCTGACTGGTGTAAAGTGGTATCTCATTGTGGTTTTAATTTGCATCTCTCTGATAGCAAATTCTTTTTATACAAATTACCTTCCTAGTTTTAGAAAAGAATGAACCCCGGATTCTTAAATGGTAATCTATACAAAAAGTTGCATGTTTCTCAAAGATACTAAACGTGTTTTTGACTTCATTGTTTTATCTCACAAGGTGCCTCTGTTCATCTTATTAGCTTCCATTTTTTTTTTTTACCATTTTATGGGATTTCTTTTTCATAATGTCCTTTTATCAATTTGTCATTAGACACTTATACTAGTCTGCTCTTCTCAAATGTTGTGGAATGTATTTCTTTTTAATGTGCCTTTGAAACCAAAATTTAAGAAGATAATAGTCTATCTTACTGGAATGCCAGCAGCGCTAATAAGCATCCTATGTAGGTTTCTAAATTGAAAGCCAGTTTGCTGGTCTCCAGAGCCAGGACGCTTAGTCATGATCTTGGACATGGAGATATGCAATTCTCTCCTTAAATGAGGTTATGAACTTGTCTGCGGAGCTCTGGTTTCTAGTGGGTGAATGATTCTGGAAGAACTTCAGAACAAAGAACATAACCTGGGATGTTTTGTGAAAGCTCTCTTTAAGAGACATAATGACTTAGAGTCCTCTGCATTGGTTGTAATGTTTTAAAGTGAAAGTAGAAACTAAAATTGTAGCAAACCCCCCCTGAAAACTTTAATATCCTTTAGTTCCTAGTAATCATATTTCCTTTGGCCTCTAAAATCAACTTAGCTTTGCTTAGCAGTTTAATGATATTAACAGTTTTAGTACAAATAAATAATATAATAATTAATGAATAATGAAAGAATAAACCATTTTGCATACCTGCAACTGTAAACCTACTTTTGCCAACCCCTGTAAGTTTTAGAGAATTATTTTTTCTTTATGTATCTCTGGCATTCACCAATCTGTTCTCTGTATCTGTAGCTTGTTTGTTTTTCATATTCCACATATAAGTGAAATCATATAGCATTTGCCTTTGATTTATGTATTTAGCACAATGAATTCAAGGTCTATCCATGTTGTTGCACATGACAAGATTTCCTTCTTTTTTAGACTGAATAATATTTCATTGTATATGTGTGTGTATATATGTCACATTTCCTTCATTCATTCATTCATTGATGGACACAGGTTGTTTCCATGTGTTGAATATTATAAATAATGATGCAGTGAACATGGAAGTGCAGCTATCTTCTCAGGAATAATGATTTCATCCTTTTGGGTATATATGTCTATCCAGAAGTAGAATTTCTGGCTCATATGGTAGTTCTATTTTTAACTTTTTGAGGACTCTCCACACTGCTTTCCATAGTTGCTGCAGTGCTTTGCATTCCCACCAGCGGTGCACTAGGGTTTCTCCTCAGTCTTGCCAGCACTTGTTATCTTGTTGTTTTGATGACAGCCATTCTGCAGGGGTGAGGTGGTATCTCATTTTGATTTTGATTTTTCTGATGAAGTTTTATATAGGCACCTATGAAGATTTTTCTCTAAAAAGAAGGGAAAGTACTGAATAAGAGGAAAAAAGACACGATATTGTGGAATATTTGAAGATTAAAAGAGGTTATCTATAAAGAAGAAAAAAAGTAAATCATGAACTTTGTATAAAATTTGGAAAATAGAGTATTACTAGGTTTATTACATTTAAGGATTAATAAAATTATTTTTCTTTAGCATATGCATATAATATTTTCTATAAATAAATCAGCATACTTAGCATTATTACACATGGAGAATAATTATTCTGAACATGTGTTATAGTATGGTATTGGAGATGAACAAGGTATATAGCTCATTGAGAAAAGTCTCTTGGCATTTCAGTATTGAGGTTCTTTTACATAAACTCCAGACAATGAATTTTCATTATTTATACTTCAAAAAAATCCATTTTTAATTAATTGAATGTTTTGATTACTTGAGGTTATCTTTAGTATTTTGCATGGGAATTACAAATTATAGGATTTTCTTCCCTAGTAGAGTGTATTAAGTTAAAATGTATAGGATTAAGGAGAGTTTAGCTAAATTCATGGTGATAATAGCTTAGTGGGTTATAAAGAGAAGCCAGGCGTGTGTTTTGACAGTATGAAAGATAACTGTGACTTTCCTCCAGGTATTATGTAACTCAGTTGAATTGGACAAGCCGTTTCTGCATTTGTGGTTATATCTTCCTTTGATTTCTGAGCTATTCAGTGTTTTGTGGTGATCAGGACATAACAGTTCTCCAAAAGCAAGTTTCTTTGTCACCTGGATGTATTACTTTTGTTGGAGGTGAGAATAAATGTGAGAAGTTAGAGAATGTCCTGACAAGAGTTATAGTTACAAAATGAGACAATAAGGGGAATAACTCAGTTAAAAAAATACACAGCACAATGACTTATCCTAAATACCCCAGAAATTCATGTATGTTAAAAGAATCAGAACTGTCTGTGAAACTGACTACATTTCACTTCAGTTAGTAGAAATGATCAATTATTATTAAGGTTGTATGCTGTAAAGGCAAGGAACTGGTCTCTGTGATATAGTTTGATATCTTTCTATAGGAACTTCTATTTGATGGTTTTTGTATTTTATTATTTACCAATGGGATTTTCAAAATTTAGGACTGTCAATAGATTATTTCAAAATATACTCATCATTTCAATTAGGAGATTCCATAAACTGTTTCAAATGAGCCTTTACTCTCATCTAAAGGCTCCTGGGACAAAACAAGCAATTTTGTATATTATACTTGAGTTATATTTTTATTTTCATGGTAATCTGTGACTCCAAGGAATAAAATGCTTGGTTGTTCTAGTAATAGGTATATAAAAAATTTGAAGTCACACATGATAAATTACTTCCTTGTTTTTCTTTTATTGGCCAATGTTTTTACCGTTAAAATTTTTGTTCAACAGCTTTGGTTAAAGAAATGAGAATTTTAAGATACTAAGATTAACGCCTTAACTATTAATTTGCATTTTAGCAATTAATGGGCTTATATCAGCAATGCAAATGGCACATTGTATTTAATTCTGTTATTGGAGTTCAAAATTCAAAGCTGTTAGTTTTTAATTAAAAATAAATATTAATTTGGTATTGTTTTACTGTATTAATGAGTGAGAGATGTGAATTTTTTTGGAGCATGAATTCAGATGATAAGAGATCTTTGAAAATACTTGATAAAAGAATTGTAAGTTTCATTAAAAGGTACTGATATAAACATGTAAACTAAATATCAAATAATTTTTATGTTATTACATTTTTATGAAGGGGATGCTTATCAGTTAGACTTTTATAGAAGTACCTCTTGATCATTCTTTTAAATTTGAAGAAAATATATGAAAAAATTTTACTTTTAACAACTTGTTATGAATTATTGAAACAGGCTTTTATAATTTCAATATGAAGATGTCCATCAGTGTTTGTGCAGACTTCTGCTGTTCAGATGTTAGCCACTAGGCACGTGTGGTATTTGAATTTAAATTGATTATAATTTAAGTTTAAAAATCAATTCCTGAGTCACATTAGCCACATTACAAGTGCTTAATAGCTGCATGGGGCCAGTGGCTACTGTATGGACAGAGCAGATACAGATAATTCTAACATGTAACATTCTGTTGGACAGCATAGATTTAGACTGGTCTTTCAGTTCTAATTCTTTAATGTAGCTCATATGTTTTTCCAAAATGTTTTATTGTGGCAAAAAAAACAACAAAATTTACCATTTTAATCATTTTTCAGATATGCATTTCAGTGTTATTAAATAGACTAACAATGTTGTACAACCATCAGTCTCTGCAGTGTTTTTTATCTTGCCAAACTGTGACTCCGTACCCATGAAGCAGTAACTCCCCACTCTTCCCTCCTCCCAGCCCCTGCCAGCTGTTGTTCTACGCTCTGACTCGGGTTTTGACTACTTTGCCTCATCTAAGTGGAATCATAAAGTATTTTCTTTTTGTAACTGGCTGATTTTACTCAGTATAAGGTCCCCAAGGTTCACCCATTTGTAGCATATTGCAGAATTTCTTTCTTTTTAAAAACTGAATAATATTCCATTGTAAGTACAGACCACATTTTGCTTATCCATTCATTGGCCAATGGATACTTGGGTTGCTTCCACATTACAGCTCTTGTGAGTAATTCTTCCATGCACGTGGGTGTGCAAAGATGTCCTTGAGACGCAGCTTTCAGTTCTTTTGGGTATAGACTCAGAATGGGAATTGGTGGATTAAATGGTAATAGTATTCTTAATTTTTTGAGGAACAATCACACTGTTTTCCAAAGCGTCTGTCATTTTATACACCCACCAACAGTGCACAAGCATTCTAGTTTTTCCACATCTTTGTCAGCACTTGTTGTTCTCTGGTTTTTGTTTTATTTTGTATTTTTTGTAGAATAGTGATTCTAATGGATGTGAGGTGGTATCTCATTATAGTTTTAATTTTCATTTCTCTAATGATTAATAGTAATGAACATCTTTTTATGTTTATTAGCTATTTGTATATCTTTGGAGAAACGTTTATTCAGACCCATGTTCAACATGTGTGCTTATGAGTCAAAGTTATGTAATACTAGCTTTTAGGGCAATACTTTTTTTTTTCAGTGTATTAGTCTCTTGTGTCATGTAAAAAACAAAATGTGGAGTTAAAAACCAGTGTTACAACAATAACACTAGCTTTTTGACCATGTATTAAATTTTACTGAAATCTTTGTATATCCATACAGCTCCCTTACTGTCTGGTGTCTCAGAACTAAATGGATAAATACATAGGGAGTTTATTATTTTTTTTACCCTGCAGGATTTTCTTGAGCATTTCTTATAGGACGGGACTAGTGGTAATAAATTTCCTCAGCTTTTGTTTGTCTGGGAATGTCTAATTTCTCTCTCATTTTTGAAGGACAGTTTTGCTGGACATAAAATTCTTAGTTGACAGGGTTTTTTTCCTTTTAACATTTTGAATATATTTACCCAGTGCCTTCTGGCCTCCAAAGTGTCAATGACAAATCTGCTAATAATCTTATTGTGAATCCTGTGTGACGACTCTGAAATTCCTTCTGCTTTCAAGAGTCTCTCTATGTCTTTTTCTTTGGAAAGTTTGATTGTAATGTGTCTCGGTTGGGTTTTATTGAGCTTCTTGGATGTTTATGTTCATGTCTCCCATCAAATTTGAGTTTTCAGTCATTATATCTTCAGACATTCTCTCTGCCCCTTTCTCTCTTCTTCTTCTGGGACTTCCACAAGGCAGATGTTTGTCTGCTTGTTGATGTCCCACATGAGGCTTAGGCTCTGTTCACTTTTCTTCAGTCTTTTTTTCTTTCTGTTCCTCATACTTGGTAATTTCCACTGTCCTATCTTCACGTTTGCTGATTCTTATGTGCTGGAATCTCCCTTATTTCCCATGAAAATTGTATTTTCAATTTCAATTATTGTACTTTTCAACTCCAGATTTCTTTCTGATTTATTTTTTGGCTTTCTGTCTCTTCATTGATATTTCTGTATTGTTCGTACTTTGTTTTCCGGACATGCTCCACAACCTACTTCAGTGGGTGTCTTCATCATAGTTGTTTTAAAGTCTTTGTCTTACAGATCTGCCATCAAGTCTTCTGACGCAGCCTCTCTTTACTTCATTTTTGTCCCTTCATTGGACTGTACTTTTACCTTTTCTGTATGCCTTAAGGTTTTTTTGTCAATAGCTAGGCATTGAAATTTTATAATGTGGTAACTCTGGAAATGAAATTCTCCTATATCCCCAGGGTATGCTGTATTTTGTTATTATTTGTTCGTTTGTTTTTTATAGTGGGCAGTCTCTTTGCTGAGTATCAGACTGAGGTGTAAACTTATGGTCTTCTCATGTCTTTTCTTAGCTTTTCCTTGGGCAAGCGTGGCCACTTCCTAGTTTGGCTAGTTTATGTACTTACTTTTGAGTGTCCTAGCCTTTAAAGTCTGGCTCCCAAAAGGGGAAGAAGAGGAAAATAAAGGTGGAGGGATAAGGGACACCAGTCTTTTTAGTTTTAGAAGTCACTTTAGACGGAGAGGGAGTGCCTCGCACTGATAGAAGGGTCGCCCACCTCTTTGTCTACACTCTGCTGATCAAAAACAGCAATGAGCAATCAGAGCACAGATTCCAGTATTTGTAGTCAGGGTTTGATTTGCTGACCCTGGCTCTTAACTACTGTGTATAAGCTAGTGAAAGAATAAGTGCACAGCAGCCTGCCAGGTGGCTTGGGATAGAGATTGAGTAGCTGCTCTGCACTTGGAGCTGAAGTTGACTGAAATTAATAACAGTTTGCCTGTGCCAGCCTTTCCCTGAAAGTTGCAAGCCTTCAACAGACACGAGCCTTCTAAAATAGTTACATCAGACAGATTTCGCTAGTGCCACTGTTTTCCAGCTAGAGAAACAGATTTCTCTTGCTTCCCACTCTGTCATCTTCCCCACATCCCTATGTTTTTGAAAATGCTTCATTAAATTCTTTTAATGAGTAAGTTTATGTTTCCTCTTTTATAAGTTGTATGGGCCACTAACTAAAATGACCCATTTATTTTTTCAACACTGTTTAGAATCTGTTTCTACAGAGTTTTCTTAGTTGGCCTATTCATCATGGCTTGTCATTAACTCAGATTAAAAGATATGGTAGCTGTGACAGGAGTCGAGTCAGGGACAGTAATGACTTTGATTTTTAGGTGTCACAACATGTCACTTAAATAAAAGTCATGGTTTCCAAAAAGAAACTGCCTTTTTAATCAGTGCTGAATCTCTAGTGTTATAATCATGTAGCATTATTACATATGTTCTTAGTACACTTATAGGGCTACATCGAATCGCCTTACATTTACTTGTCATTATAGGAGTGTACATGCTTTTCCATATGTATAGTCATTATATACCCTGTGCTTACATATACCCATGTGTATTTTTTTTTAAGTTCATTTTATTTTATCTTTTTTTTTAAAGATTTTATTTATTTATCTTTAGAGGGGAAGGGGGGAAGGAGAGAGGGAGAGAAACATCAATGTATGGTTGCCTCTTGTGCGTCCCCTGCTGGGAACCAGGCCTGCAACCCAGGCTTGTGCCCTGACTGGGAATCGAACCGCGATCATGTGGTTCACAGGCCCGCGCTCAATCCACTGAGCTACACCAGCCAGGGCCCCCATGTGTATTTTTATTTATTTTTCACATATACCTGAATTTTGTGTTTCTAGAAAACAATGCCAACACTAGAAGGTAAGAATGAATGTATGAACTTACACTTTTTCTCTGTGTAGGCAGTGCTCGGAATGTGACCAGGCTGGGAGCAGCGACATGGAAGCAGACATGGCCATGGAAACCTTACCAGACGGAACCAAACGATCAAGGAGGCAGATTAAGGAACCAGTGAAGTTTGTTCCACAGGACATGCCTCCAGAGCCCAAGAAGATTCCAATAAGAAACACGGTAATTTATTCCCTATTTATCATAATCGTCGCAAAATTCCGAGATGAAAACATCAAAGGTGAGAAAGACAAAGGGTGAACGTATACTCAGGAGCCCGAGGAAGAAACATGTGTGTTGCTATTGGTTTTTCTTAAGACCGTATTATTTTACATTATGAAATAACCCATATGTACCAGAGAATTTACTGTTTATGTATTACACTTAAAGCATAATAATAAGGAACACCCGTTATTAATATAATGAACGTACTAACCAACTTCAAAAATAGAACCTTACTAAAGCTTTTGAAGTCCCCTGTGAATTCCTTGGTAATCATATTCCCATCCATTCAGCCCAGAAGTCACCTCCTTTCTCAACTTTATATTTCTCATTCTCTTCTTTTAATTATACTCCAAATGTGCGCATTCATATATGGTACATAGTTTTCCTGGTTTTGAATTTTGTGTGAATGGAGTCAAACTACTTTCTTCTGTTATTTGGTATTTTGACCACATCATAGTGATTTCATTCGTACACACTGATCTGCATAGTTGTAGCTCATTTATTTTCACTAAGGTGTGATTTTCTTTTTTAAAAGAATAGGTCACTATTTATTTTGTCTTTTGTTCTGTAGATTGTCTTTTTTGTTCTTTGCATCTTTTTTTTAATAAACAATTTCATTTAAAATATTTCTATAAAGGGCCCCTGCAGCACGTTAACAAGGAGTTAGGGTACATACTAAGGCATGGCTTTGTGTAGCTGTAGAATATTTGCATCTTTGGTTTTGCAAGATAATTCCCATGTTTCCTGAAGCAGTTTACACTCATACCAGCAATGAATAATGATACTCTTGCTCCCAAACATGTATTTTTTTTTTTAGAGATCTTTAGAGGGGGAGAGAGGGAGAGAAATATCAATGTATGGTTGCCTCTCATGCGTCCCCTGCTGGGAACTGGCCTGCAACCCAGGCATGTGCCCTGACTGGAAATCGCACCGTGATCTTTTGGTTCACAGGCCCACGCTCAGTCCACTGAGCTACACTAGCCAGGGCTCCAAACTTGTTTTGTCCACTATTTTAATGCTTTTTCAGTGTATACATATAAAATAGTATATTGTCGCCCTCAAAACTAATGACTTTGAGCATCTATACATTTGTTCAGTTGTATTTCCCCTTTTGGGAAATGTATATTCAAGTCATTTTTAGTTTTCCTATCAGGTTGTTAGCCTATTTCACATGAAAAACTATTTGAGGCCAAAGTTTAAAAAATTTCTTCCAAAAAACATTCACATTTGTTATTACCAGATACCTGGGAGCTCTAAAGCTTGGTGTGTATCTTTTGTATCACATGAGTAGTGCGAATTTCTGTTCCAAACCCACGAAGGCTGGCTTGCAGTTATGAATTCTTTGGGGAGACATTTCACTTTCTTACCTTGAGCCAAGGCTGTCAAAAATCTGCCTCCCCCTGAGGGAGATGTAAAGATATTTTTAGGGTTAGTTGTCCTTATTTATTTGTTTTGTTACCTGTTCAGTTTTAGAGAGTCTTTATTTTTTTTCTCTTAAAGTAAAAGTTCTCTTTAATCTGTAATAACCCTCTATATTGGAATCACTTAGAAGATCTCATTTAAGAAGTCACCTAGATTATTTCATCCATTTTTGTGTTATGGGCTCATTTGAAATTGATGAGGCATATCCTGGAATTGTCTCTTAGATAATTGAAATAGTTAATTATGGGTGTTCTAAACTGGTCAACTTGAAAGTTTTTTTGTTTTCGTAATTTTCACAAGTTTTAAACTTTTTTAAAGGCTTTACAAACATATTTTGTTTACAAATGAACTAAAGAGAATTTTCCTTCTTTGAATGAGCCTGCTTGTTTCTCTGTTTCTAAAATATTTTCTGTAACTGTTTGATTCCAAATCTGTAGCTATTTTTAAGATCTTAGAGGTCTTCATGTATAGATACTTCATATGTAGATGTCTATAAAGATTATCCTTTTAAGAAACACTTTTTCCAGTTTACTGTTTAGAGAAATCCTTATGGTTGATATTGTCATCATTACCTTTGGAGTTATGTACAGGGAAATTTTGTACATATTATAGGGATATTTATGTGCTCATGGTTTAGTATTCTTTAAGATAAAGAAGTATTTTATTTTTTAGAATTAGAATTATAAGGAAGCTTTATAATTTTCTAATTTAGTCTAATTGCTTTCATCCTTTTCTTTGTCTCTGTCTTTCTTGTGTAAAAGTTTTAACTTTGTAGCTATTGGTGGGTAAAACAAGAAAATATCCCATGGCCAGTAATTTTAGGAAATGTCATAGCATGGTTATTTTCTCTCTTGGGAGAATTCAAAAGCATATTGAAGCTGTCAGAAATACTGCTGTTTAGAAATATATAAAAATTATTTACATTTTTTCCTAACTTATTTGATCAAAGAGCACCTTTTTTCCAGGTACATTTAAAAAAAATTGTGGCAGAGTCCCATGTAGTGCCAGCTTTTGGGATTCCAGAGGCCATGGATCGCTTGCATCAGGTTCTTCTGGGGTGTTTGCTGAAGTGTAGACTTTGGACGTCCTGGAGATAATGTATTCGAATTGGGGGTTAGGCTAAGAACACTTCTTAGGTGATATTCTCATGTAGAGTATTTAGATAACATGATTATTACTCGTACTTTTCCCCTCCATCTTCCCTCCATCAGTCTGTACAGCAATTCAGAAAACCTTCAATAACTACATTCAGTTGGTCAGGTACTAGATTAGGGAACATAATAAAAATGGAAGATCTTTTTAAAAAAATTACTAATTTCAGAGAGAGAGAGGGAGATGGAGAGAAAAACATCAGTTTGTTTTTCCACTTATTTATCCATTTATTGGTTTATTCTTACATGTGCCGGGAGTGGGCATTGAGCACACAACCTTTGTATGTTGAGTTGATGCTCCAACCAAGTGAGCTACCTGGTCCATGCTCAATCATCTTGATCTTGAGTTTACTATTTTGGCTGAATTGCTGTAGTTATCTTAATTTTTTCTAGCTGTCATTTCTGTTTCAGAGTTGTATTAGCATTTTAAATTTTTAGATGGTATGTTAAAATGAAGCATTCTAGTTTCTTTTTCTTAGCACACTGTTAATTGTGGGAATCCAGGAATATAACTGCCTACTAATTTGTATAGCCAGATACCTTTCACTATAAATCACTGATTTATCTCTCCCTTTAATTTTTTTGTTGTTTCTAGTATCTTACTCCTCGCACTTTTAATTTTAGTACATATGTAACATTTTGGGATAGTCTATCCTCAAATTTCTTATAATATTTTTACTTTTGTTAATTTATGTTTTTTCTGCCATTATTAATATTTGTAGATTTATTTATTTTTAGAGAGGGAAAGGTAGGGAGGAAGAGAGGGAGAGAAACATTGATGTGTGATTGCCTATTCAAGCTCCCCGCACTGGGAACCTGGCCTGTAACCTAGGCATGTGCCCTAACTGGGAATGGAACAGGTGACCCTTTGGTTCTCAGGCTGGTACTCAACCCACTCAGTCACACCAGCCAGGGCATTTTTCCTGCCATTATTGATCAAGGTGTAGTTTATCTCACAATAGTCATATTAGTCTATCAAATTTTTGAAGAAACTTTTACCTTTGTGGATAGGGGATTTATGACATACTCCAAGTTTCAGTTCTCATTTCAAAATAATGTATCAATCAGTAAAACTGTTAAAATCATCATTTGTTCCATAATTTTCTATCAATTTCTATTAAGTTTGTTATTTCCCTTGGGTTGCAGTGATAATACAATTTTTAGAGACATAGTTCAAGGTTATTTCATGCTAGTAATATGATTTTTCTTTTGTTAAAATAATCCTTTTTGTGGTACATGAGAATTGGTATTCTGCTGGAATAATTTTATGTTTAAGAATTTAGACTTTACAGTATAATTAAGCATACAGCACTTTAAATCTCTTTTTTAAAGGCCTCTCAGTGGAGTTGTCCAAAGACTATCAAAAAAGGGAAATTATCGTGGCTGCTATAGATTGAAGTCCCATTTTTATTGAATAGTTTTCCTTACCTCCTTCCATTTCTCACTTTTAATACTTTGTATCTTTTAAACCATCCAGGTAGGAGGGTTTAAAAGTAAAATTAGGTGGTAGTAAGGGACTGAAAGGGGACAGTAAGGGATTCAAATGTTGGAATAGTTGAATAAATTCTAATATTGGGTTGGCTAAAAAGTCTCTTTAATTGTTTACATAAAGTAAAAGACATTTTTCTTTTTAAATATATTTTATTTATTTATTTTTAGAGAGGGGAAAGGAAGGAGAAAGAGAGGGAGAGAAGCATCAGTGTATGGTTGCCTCTTGCACACCCCCTACTGGGGACCTGGCCTGCAACCCAGGCATGTGCCCTGACTGGGAATCGAACCGGCAACCCTTTGCTTCACAGGCCCGTGCTCAATCCACTGAGCTACACCAGCCAGGGCATAAAAGACATTTTTCATTTTGAGTATGTCAGCTATCTCCTGTTTGGTATAATGTTGATTTTTCTCAGTTAATGTCTTGTTTTGATTGCTATCAACCTCACCTGGTCTACCGAACTGTGGAACATCATGTAGTGAGAAATATCCAGCATGAAACTTTGCAAACCACTTTAGACGCATATGATCAGTCACAGCACCTTCTCCATACACTGTGCAATTTTGGTTTTGCATTTCACTTGTGTGTTTTTCTTTCTTGAAATAATAAACAATAATATGTCAAAAAGTTGCATATTTTCTTCTATCTTCAATATTAAAGTGGATACACAAAAATTCACTGATGTTAAGTTTTTAAAAAATATATGCTGATATGGCAGGTGTCACAATACAATCTAACAAAATTGTTTAGAATGAAGTAAAGACCACTAAATGCTACTATAGCCATCTATTGGAAAGAAAAAAGCACACAAACTTTTGGGCCAACACAATATATTGCTACTATTAATTTAACTTCCATTCAATCATACTGCTCATAAATCCAACCATTTTGTTTTA